AGATTGGGCCGGGCGGCGCCCCGTAGCGACAGATTCGCCACGGAGGGCGCGTGGGCTGCGCGTCCGTGTCGGCACTTTCGTGTGTGTGTGTGTGTGTGTGTGTGTGTGTGTGTGTGCGCGTGTGTGTGTGCGCGTGTGTGTGTGTGTGTGTGTGTGTGTGTGTGTGTGTGTCTGTGTGTGTCTGTGTGTGTCTCTGTGTGTCTGTGTGTCTGTGTGTGTGTTATCCTCAGGAAGTTCTTTGGTGTAAGATCTGTGTGTGCTTTCAGGCACAACAAAGGAGCCCTAGTCAGAGAACAGGCAGCAGGCAGCATCCCTCACTCATGGACATGCTGGCACTGATAAGCTTTAAACGCACAGCACATCACGATGTTGGTGTCTGTCTATGTGTGCAGTATCAGAGACGCTTGGAATGGGTCTGGGACCACAACAGGGTGTCTTGTCCAACCTCCCTGCTCGAGCAGAGGCACCCCAAAGCACATGGCACAGGATGGCATCCAGATGGCTCTTGGATGTCTCCACTGAGGGAGACTCCACACCCTCTCTGGACAACCTGTTCCAGTGCATGGTCACTGCACAGTAAAGTTCTTCCTCATGTTCAGGTGGAACTTCCTGTGCATCGGTTTCTGCTTGTTGCCTCTTCTTCTGTTGCTCGGCACCACCAAAGAGAGCCTGGCTCCATCCCCTCGCCACCCTCCCTTCAGATACTTGTAGGCATTGATGGGGTCCCCTCTCAGTTGGCTTTTCTCGAGGCTGAACAGGACCTGTTCCCTCAGCCTTTCCTCATAAGATTGATGCTCCAGTCCCCCAGTCATCCTTGCTGTCTTCTACTGCACCTGCTCCAGGGGCTCCATTGCTAACTTAGACAAAACACTCAAGGTCCATGTATCCTATTGCTGAACTATCTTAAGTATAATACTAAAGATCACACCTACAGCTCAAAAAGACCCCTGCCCAGATGAAGACCCTTTCTCTGACCACATGTAGAAGTTAGCTGGGGTTATGTAACTTGCATGGAAATGACTAACCAATCCTAGTAGAGGGACTGAGCTTGGAAAGTGGCTAACTCTGAATTTCTGTTTATGAATAATGGTGCAGAAACTCTGATGGCTTGTGCTTGATTTATGACAGGACTCCAGGACAAAGTCCCCTCCCCACTGGTCAGGCAGGTGCACTGGGGACCAGGCAGCCTGCCTGAGCCACCCAGCCCCACACCTGGCCATGACAGGCCATGGGTTCCCATGAAGGATGTGGTGACCCCAGGGCCACCATCCCCACAGATCTTCACTGGATGCTGTGCCATTGGGAGAATTCTCCTACCACACCTGGAGAAAGGCCTTCTCTTTCCCAGCCTTGGTCATTACTCCATGCTCTGTGACTTGCCTCAGCAGCAACAGGCATGGGGCTGGTCAGGTAGGCACAGCTTCGCAGAAGGACATGGTGTCTGGAAGCTGTGGCTTTTTATACCTTTCAGAACCTCCCTGGTGACAGGACTTTATTTCCCAGCAACAGCTAGCCCAGGCAAAAAGAGCCCTGTGTGTTCACAGCTGCTGTCCTTGATCCCTTGAGGGAGAAGGGATCTGGGTGTAAGGCACTCAAAACCTTCCACAGCACTGCTTTTTTTCCCATCACAACTTATTCTGAGAACTGTTCTCTCTGGAAGCTGCAGCACCTCAAGGCAAGATGCAGAGTAGCTTGGGATGGGAGTTTACTTCTGTAGGAATGCAGCCAGTCAGGTCCTGATGCAAAGCTGAACTGGCAAGGATGCTGATTCCTTGCCTGTCTCCCCCGGCAGGTAGTTGGAGTGCTGTGTGTTCAAAACCATCGCACTGGAAAGGAGGCAGCCGAGTGCTGGTTCTGTCTGGGCTGGGAGCACCCTGCCTCTGGCAGCAGGAACCAGACTGGGCTTTGTTCATGGTCAGACGTGGCATATCAGTCACTGCTGCAAGGCCTGAACGTTCCCATCTGTCACCTCCAGAGCCAATGGCAAGGCCAGACCCAAGCAGTGCTGCACACCCCTTTCCCAAGGGTCAGGAGCACACCCGGGCAGAGCGATGGGGTCTTTATTGTGGAGCAGAAAGTATTGCTTCCCATGTGACACACAGGACCAGCACTTGATTACAGACATACTTGTTTCTAGGATCCCTTGGCCCTCAGGCATGTTTGATACCTCTTTGACAGCAGATAATCTGTTACATTTGAAAGCTATTCAGTTCATAACAATACCATCCTGTGCATTTGGACCCAGTACCTGGGTCAAGAAGATACAGGCATGTTGGAACCTGTTAATTCTAAAAAAATGTAAGTCGATAGAAGATGCTGTGAATGACAGAGAACCTATAATTTTAAAACAAAGGAAACCCACAGTAGACTTAAATAGTTTTGTTTTTCCTGAATAACTTCTATCTCTTTCTATTTCCTTCTGCAAACATCCACTTGAAAAAACATATTTTTCAGCAGATCTCGAAGTTTTCATTGTTCTCTCACCGTGTTCCTCCTTGGTTACAGTTGTTTCATCTGACCTCATACTGTGTCATATCACAGATACATTCATTTAGAGGAGCCTTGGTATTTTAACAATCACAATTGTTCTTCTGGTGCTATTGCTTTATTTAAAAGCAGAGCCTAACATTTTCAGCTTATTACCACTTTGGAGAGTAATTTTCAGGCAGTTGATCAGAGTAATGGCTGGGGAGAACAGATCCCGTTACAATATCTGTCTTTGCTCTTCTTATCTGTTCCTGCAGTGATTATCATCACCTCCTTCAGCAAGAAAGAGATAAAGGAGACTGCAGGTCTGTGAAGAAATAGCCATCTCTGCCTACCAATCGCTCTGTTGTTTCCAGTCTCCTCGGTGTGTTTTGCATTAGCAGAATTCAGGGGTTTCAGGAGCTATTCCTGACTTGCACCAGTAGCAGTGAAGAACCGGGTCCAGTGCTGGGAAAACGACAGATGGGTGACAGATGATATTGAATCCGGCTTTAACAGCTATGGAAGGTTCAGTACATCAGACCAGCACGTGCAGGATTATTTATGAGTGATACTGCAGGTATCCCAAAATTAGCTGAAATTTTATTTTAAAAAACCCTGGCAAAGAGTTAAAAGCTGTGTGCATTGTAAATAATGCTGGGTTTTCACAGCAAGGGTTTCAGCTGCAAAAAACTCTACTGAGCTAAAAGGTGACATTTGGTAATCCTACTAGGAATTGTATGTAAACTTGGAATTGTAGCTGAAGGTATTCTGCTTCTGTTACTCATCTGTGCCAATTCCATAGGCTAAAAATAAATATGATCTGGCTAAAATGAATTAAATGATCCATCTTACCAGTTCCTTTTTCCTATGGCATATTTAAGTGGAAAAATACAGCCCCTTTTTCTGGAACGGATCTCATTTTAAATTTTTAAGGGTTTTTTTTTTGTTTTTTTTGGTTTTTTTTTGGCAATTGAACAGGTTTTTAGTTTTCTCACTTATCTGGAATGATTGTAGATCTGCAGAACTCAAGGCACCAAGTTCACTTGGCTACTGAAAAGTTTTTATGGATCCAATCAACCCAATCAATTTAAGTCTTTTTTCTTTTTTTGGTTTTGGCTGTACTCCAAGTAACTTAGTAACTTGTAGAGGAAGAAATTCTGTTACAGAATTTTGATGGCAACAGGAAATAGCTGTGTCACTGCTTTATGACTTCAGGAAAATCCACCCACAGATCATTTTGGAACTGAGGAAAATTAAGAAATATAGAGTATGGATAGAAATTGCAAGCACAGCTCATTAACAAGGAAAACACCATGCTGAAAATAAAAAGTGGAGAAGTTGCAACTATCTCCTTTTTTACATTCAGACAGATAATTCTAGAAAAAGAGAAAAAAAGCACCTAGTTGCAATATTTTATTTGTTTTTTACCTAAATTATTTTTATAGTAATGAGCAAAGGGGAGAGTCTAAAGGGCTGGAAAACCTAGCTAGAAGACATTTTTATAGTAATAAGCAAAGGGGAGAGTCTAAAGAGCTAGAAGACCTAGCTAGAAAACCTAAATATATTCTATTCATTAAGGAAATTAGATTAAATTTTTAACTGAGAGAGATGACTAATGTGCAGCAAGGGAGGAGTTTTCTAAGGATCCATAATGCAAAATATAATTAAACTGAAATCAGAGAAAGCTCATGGTAATGAGTTCCAAAGGTAGAATATAATAAAGAGTTAAACATGCCTAAAAGTCACACGACTGCTTTGTATCTTGTTGTTATCATGGACTTTCCTTCCTGGAATTATTTTTTTAGGGAATTCACCTTTCCAGCTCTGTTTGTATTTGGCAATATTCAAAAAAATCCCTTCTTGCCAAATGCAGTGTAAATATACAGCTGTCATCTATACTGGGAGCCAAAAATAATCTATCAGTGGGGGCTGTCTTTGATGACATTGCACCATGTAAACTTGAACATTGAGCTAATGCAGTCAATATTAAACACAGCAACAGCGAGGTCACCACTGGTTTGTTAGCCACGATGGCAAGTACATAGGAAATTTCTCAAAGAAGATAAAGTCTCTGCTCTTTTGTTGGTGAATGCTAGAACTGCGCTTCAGCTTCCAGGGAGCTCTGTCTGCTTCAGCTCTCCCTAATGCAATATCTGTGCAGAGGAGTTTGACTAATACTCTTCCCTTTGCACATGATGATGAGTGAAGTGGGAGGAAACAAGGGGCAGCTGATCACGGGAAAGTGCTGGAAAAGGCTGAGAGTCATTGGTCATTTCCAATTCTCACTAAAATGCTTTTCCATAACATAAATTTAAAAATAAAAAAAAAGGAGAGCAACGAAACTGTTTGGCAAGTTACCTCCTGTTAAGTGCATTCTGCCATTGGTGAGTTTGTTGGCAGTGCTTCTGTTTTGCTCTTATAAGTATCTAGATTTTAGTGATGGTATAACCCAACATTTTGATCTGAAGGTGAAGCAAACTAGGATATGAAAAGATTTTGTACTTGCTGCATATTTCCTTAAAGAGAACAAAAAACAAAGAAGAAATAATTTTTTAGGTGCATCAGTAGAGGCTTTTAGGGATACTATCACTTCTGACTGGTTATGCTAATGCCTCATTTCCCCCAGTCTAGCTGCAGCAGGTTCCCAAACACATAATTTTATCTATTTTTTCATGCTCATCTAGTTATCCTACTCAATAATTTCAGCCCATATAAGTTCACCTGAAAGAAGGGATCTTTCCTCTCTGCTGCTGTTTCAGGAAGCCATTGGTCTTACTGATCTATATGTTTCCTGATCACAGGCAGTTTAATATGAGGAGCCTGAAATGGATCCCATTAAATTAAAAGGCTTCCCATTCCATTCACGCTTTGAGTGCAGCATTAACTGAAGTGGGCAGCTGCTTTCATCAAAATCATTATGAGATCACTTGTTCTTTTCTTTCTTGTTTTTGCCTTTTTTTCCTTCTCCTAGTGTTTTTCTGAAAAAGACTGAAGTGTAGAGAACTAGGGGCTTAGATGAAGTCATTGTAGTGGACATCTGGAACAGAATGTCATCACGTTTAGGCAAGACAACAGCTCATTTTTATTTCAGTTCTGATTTCAAGTCCACAGTATCCCAAGGAAAACACTGGCTCAATGATCCAATCTATTTAGGCACATGGCAGTGTTGAAAGAATGACAAAACAAATCACAAAACCCTCCTTTTGTGGAGGCTCAAACTTTAGGGCTCTCTCAAGAAGGTAGAAGCAGTGGTACAGAGATGATGTTAAAAACCCCAAATTCTTGTCAACAATAATGACATCTTGCAAGTCACAGCACCATGTCTTGCTCTCTGTATAGCTGCCATTTTGTCATTTAATAGTGTTTGTTACTGCAACTTCACATCTGCCAGACTTGGTCAGATCAATCTTTGTACAAAGTGTGAAAAGCATCATTGCTGGAGGCAATTTTTTGTGCCTGGGTTGACGCTAGACTAAGATTATCTGGTTTTGTGTTGTGGGCTGTTTTATATTTTGCTAGATGCTCTGGCACTGTGGTTCAGCCAAGCTGACAGTCGTACTCTTCATTGCAGAGAATAAGGGGAGTTTTAGGTGATGTGTAATAAATAGATAGAAATGTCTTCGTTTTTCTTAGCTAATCTGTAGGATTAGTTCTCCTGGGTTGCTGAGAGTAGCAGTGTTACTCATACCACATTTTAAATTAATACTGCATTTTATTAATTTTTTTATGTCTTGAGAGGAATGATAGGAGATGAAAAATAAAACTTCCTTCTTCTCTCTTGAACCTTTAAAAATCTGTCACTGACTTTAATAGTAGTGTTCCCATGGAGATAAGCACAACTAAATCTCTCTAAAAGGAATAGAACTAATCTGCTTTGAATGAAATATTTTTGCATTTTAAGTAATGTTACTTTAAGACATACTTCATTCTTCTCTGACAAAGTGCTCTTTGATTTTTCAGAAAATGCGTAATCAAAATAAAGAGCAAGTTCTATTGTATTCTCTTCCCTGGTTCCCTCTCTACAATGGACAATCCACAGATAATAATTTTGTGGTAATGAGAAGTTGAAATCAGAAAATATTCCAATCTCTTTCTAAGATACAGGCAGAACATAAATAGCATGCAGGAAAAATGCAGTTATACACTGCCCTTAAATGGGCAGGAGACACTATGCAGGAAAATGCTTTTACTTCTTCAGCAATAATGACCTGGCAAGCCATTCCCAGCTGATAATTCTTTATTACAAATTTCTGAGCACTGTTCAGAATGGCATAGGTGGGACCAAAATGGCTTTGATTCACAGTATCCTGGGACAGTGAAAAAATAACTGTACCAGCATCAACATCAAATATCCTGAAAGACTGCTCCTAATAATTCTCACTTTTCTGTTCAGTGAAACTTCTTCCAAAAACAAAGTGATTTTTCTGACAATGTGCAAAGTAGACATTTTGTTCTTATTCATTTGCTCTAAATAAAGATTTCAGCCAAGCTTCAGGCTGATCTTGACTGCACCATTGCACATCCAGAGGCACTCAGTCTGGATTTGCAGACTTACCCCACCACAGCACAGAGCTGTGCCAAAGCCCTTCCTCTTGTCTCACACCTTATCAATTATACAGATTTGTAACAACACTGACACCACTTCAGAAGAGACCTGGACTTCACAGCACTGCAGGAAAGGGTGAATGCTACCCCTGCCTGACTCCCCTGCTCCCAGACACTGCCAGTCCACCAGAAATATTTGATCTGCCCACTTCCCACATCTCTGCTGAGGGCTGGCTCTCCGACATTCCCCTTGTTCATCCCCTTCTTTCTGCGAAGAGCGATGAGTTACTCATCCTCCAGTGGCACACACCGGGACTTTTCAGAGGTCTGTGGAGGTCATACTGTCTACAGAATCAAGGAGAAGGGCAGACAAAAGACCAGGGAGGATCCTGAAGAGTTGGACATGCACCAGCTAATGTGGGGATGGAGGCTGTATGATGACTGGCAATACCCCTAGTAGGGCATTCCCTGGTTTCAGGAGTAGCAACAAGGCTTGCTCTTCAAGGAGGCGAAGAAGGAAAGGACAACTGCCGATCCCACAGAGGTTTCCAGCCAGCTCTGTAATTGCCAGCCCTCAACCACTCCTGGCAATATAAAGTTATCTGCAGCCCCAGCTCTTTAATCTTTTTCCCTTTTTAGCTTTCTCCATATAGTGTTGAAATGTTCCTCATATTTTAAAGGAACCTGAAATTCTGAAAATTCAATCTATGATGAGCTGCTTCAGTTGGGATTTCAGGTTCCCAGACAAGACCAAACACCACGTTGCAGGTGTGGGTGAGATTCCTGCTAACATGGGGGATAGAAGCTGCATCTGCTAGGGTGTGTGACAGTGTCAAAAATCCATTTTATGGCATCACAAATGTCTTATCAAAGCCCTGTTTTCAGAGGCAAAAGACTAGGCAGTGATTACCACATGATACTAGGAGTCCATAGTCCTATTTCAGGGGGTCTTCTGACCAGCAAACACCGTGGGAAAAACACCAAGGAGCCTCAGATTTGAGAGCTGCTTCCCCAACATGAGATATAAGAACGGATGTATGGAATATGAGGAGGCAGCTGCTGTGGTTATCACTTGTTCTAAGTCTTAGCTGTGATGGAGAAATGGGGACTTTTCTAAAACTGAAGATTCTATAGTGGCCATTCAGACCCACAGGCTGAAGGGCTCAGGCTGGGCAATGCAGAAGAGCATGAAGTTGTGATCTCTTTCTGAGAGGATCTTCTTGAATATTGTGTGCCATTCTGGTCCCCATAATTTAAGAGAAGGGTGTGAGGTCCTTGAATGCATCCAGAGGAGGGCAACAGAGCTGGTGAAAGGGCTGGAAGGATTGTCCTATGAGGAGTGGCTAAGAACTTTGGACTTGTCTAGTTTGCAGAAAAGAATACTTTGGGGTGATCCCATTGCTTTCCACAGCTTCCTGAGAAGGGGAAGTGGAAAGGGAGATGCTGGACTCGTCTCTTTGAGATCCAGTGACCAACCAGAAGTGGTTCAAAGCTACATCAGGTACATTTAGACTGAACATTAGGAAGTATTTCTTTACTGAGAGGGTGGTCAAACACTGGAACAGGCTTGGACTGCATGATCACTATGGGTACCTTCCAAAAGACTGAAATACTCCTATCCTATTCTATTCTATTCTATTCTATTCTATTCTATTCTATTCTATTCTATTCTATTCTATTCTATTCTATTCTATTCTATTCTATTCTATTCCATTCCATTCCATTCCATTCCATTCCATTCCATTCCATTCCATTCCGTTCCAAATGGATACTGCTTTTGTTCTTGATATTAAGCAGGAGGTGGGGACGGTAGATCCTCAGCTACAGTAAATTGCCATGACTTCATTGGAGTCAATAGCAAACTGCAGAGACTCACTCTGTCAATAACTAAACTCCCCAGGGCTGATAGAATCGGTCATAACTTCATTGAAATCCACTGATGTCCATCTGACCTCAAGGTTTTGTTATTGATTATGTTAGGAGTAGGACAAGACCTAAATTTAATTTTGTGATCGTCCAGGAACAGGATACATTATTTCAAAGCATTCATCATTACTGCAGTTAATTGGGGCCTGTCCCAGACTAGGCTGTCTCTTTCAATCATTAAAATGCTGCTTGCCAATCTATGATTTGCCCTGCAGATGTGAAAATCTGCTCTGACATATGTAAAGCAGAAGGGCTTTGACTATTTCAGGTTTCGTTTAGGTGTGTAGTCGATGGTTGCCTCAGGTAATGCTGAGGTACTACTTAATCATGATAACATGATTAAGATGCAAATCCACATGCCTAATTTAAATACATTTGTTCTCTGAACCATCCACCTGGGTGCAGTTTCTAAGAGTAAATGCAAAGTACTCACAGCAGGCTTCAGCTCAAGAGAATCTCAGGGACAGCTTCCAAATGTAATCACTCATTGTCATAGTAGAAAGCTGAAGTTACCTTTTTTAAAAGTCCAGGTGTTACACATGCTCTGTTTCTGTAACAGAATCACAGAGTGGTTGGGGTTGGAAGGGACCTCTGGAGGTCATCTGATCATCTCATCTCACTCCCCCACTTAAGCAGGACTACCTAGAGCCTGTTGCCCAGGGCAGTATTTATAGGGGTGAGAAAATACTTCCAGGGGTGGGGATTCCTCAATCTCCCTGGGCAACCTTTGCCAGTTCTCAGTCACCCTCAGGGAGAAAAAGTGTTTCTGGATGTTCAGAGGAAAGTCTCAGGTTTCCCACTGCCCACTGCCTGTTGTCCTATCAGTGGGCACCACTGAAAGCAGTCTGGCTCCATTCTCTTTACACTCTCACTTCAGGTATTTATTTTATTACACATTGGTAAGATCCCTTTGATCATTTTCTTTTCCAGGTGGAACAGGCTCTCAGCTTTTCCCCATAAGAGAGATGGTCTAGTCTCTTAATTGTCTTAGTGTTCCCTCACTGGATGCTTTCCACTATGTCCATGTATGCCTTGTACTGAGGAGCCCAGAGCTAGACACAATCCTCCAGGCTGGGCTTCACCAGGGCTGAGCAGAGGGGATCACTTCCCTCTCCCTGCTGGCAATGCTCCTCCCAACACAGCTCAAGATACCTTCAGCCTGCTGTGCCACAGGGAAGCATTGCTGATTTATGTAATTGCCTGTTTTTTCTGGGGCAAATGGGCTTTGGGCAGGAGTGAGGTGATATCAGCCCTGGAGCCAGGCCCCACAGTTAGAGAACCTGCAGAGACACTGCCCAGCAGGACTGACAGGGTCTCTCCTCTGAGCCTGACAAAGAGAGCACTATGCTAAGTGATGGATTTACCTCTTCAGGTCCTCACCAGTCATGTCCACCCATCTATCTTGCCCCAAAACCATCTGGTGTCTTACTACCATGAAAGCCTCCTCAAGGAGCAGCCACCACTGAGCAAGGTGGTGTGCAGCTCCTGTTGTGGGTCCTGCTGGGCCCCTACCACAGCATGAGGATAGCACTGGCTGGAGGCACACACAGGAATTTGGGGCAGCAATCCAAGGTCTGAGCCACTCTGAGCCCTGGGTGGACAGCTATTCCAGGATTTTGTTCCTGATGGCATGTAGGCAGGCTCATATATTTAACATGCCTGGCTGGTGAGACACAGTCTGGTCAGAGTGGCCATCTCCCTTCTAGCTGTGAGTAGCTGTCCTGTGTGTGTGGGACAGGGCATGACATTGGTGGTGGATTTGGCAGTGCTAGGTTTACAGCTGGACTTGATGAACTGAAAGATCTTTTCCAGCCTAAATCCTTCTATGATTTTAATGCAGTTGGCATGCAGTCACCAGGCTGCAACTCAGGTTAGACCTAGATGCACTGCAAGTTTACAGCTTGTCCTGTTCTGCCTGCACCTCCTCCTGCCTGCTGCCTTTCCCCTTGAGAAAACTCCTGAAGCTCCAGTGAAGGTTTGCTTCATTTTCACTACCCCAAGGCAGGGCTGTGGGCCTCATTCAGCGCAAAGTATGAGCTCTAATGCTGCTTGCATTAATGGTGTTTTAATGGCCCTTCCTAGCTAGTGTATGACCCTGCAGAAGGGCTTTAGTATTCCCATGGGCACACAGCTAATCCTTCCATAGTTTTTGTTTGCAGGCTCCTTTCCTCATCATTCTGAATGAGAGTGGTCAGGTGAAGAAGCCTGGTTCTTTAGACTGCAGGCTGGGCATATGCTGAACATCTCTTCTATAAAAGCCCTGATTTGTATGAAATTCAAATACACATTGGGAAATCACCTAACAACAATATGGATCGAGTGGATCTTGGAATGTGGAACGTTTTGATCTTATGCAGTTAGGCCATCCCCCAAAACACGACATTGCAACCAGAGGAGTGTCACAGCCATGCAAAAATTGAGAGAGCTGGAATACTCTCATTTAAAAATGAGCAAAGCCACTGTTTTGTAGTAGAAGCAAGCCAGCTGGATATGCAGCGTGAGCATGTATTATGATGAGCCTGGGTTATTAGCAGTCACCAGTTTGGAAGCCCTCAGTGAATAAATTCGCTGTTTCAGGATAAAAAAGGGAGCATGGTATCTGCTTTGTCAGTAGTCACTGCAGAAGTGAATGATGAAAAAACAGGAACAGCCCATTAAGAACTGCACAGATACATGCTAGTTTTCTCAAGGTTGTCATAAGAAATGGGCAAGAGAACTAAGTGCTAAAATAGAGGAAGAAACCAATCACATCTTAAGAGTCCTAGGGCTGTGAATAGTTACAAGGGAATGAGATCTGCTACGTGTGCCACACCTAGAGATATGACGCAGAACTCCAGAGATCAGGTCACTGTTTACCATGTCAATGCATTTGTCAGTAGTGACCCAGGATGGACAGTATTCATGAGCTGCAGAACTAAGGAACCTTTTTCCAGTGGATCTGTGCTCTGTGCACTAACCATCGTTCTTCTACTCATTCTCTGTGTAGTTTCCATAGCAGCACCCCCAAAACTGCTCTGTGTCCAGCATTGAGTCCTGTACCTGATTTTCCCACCCATGCTTCCCATGCCTCCGTCCTCCAGCCCTGTAGTATGCGAAAGTGTTGACCACTTCCTTCTAATTCATGTCAGTATTCTCAGCTCCCTTTCTGTTTCCCACCTACCTCCTGTGGGCTCCCAACAGAGTGCCACAAGGTTCCTGGCTGTGCTGGCTGCCAGACCTAGAAGGTAAGGCCTGGAGGCAGTCTTGCCTTTTTCTCTGGGAGGGTAAAAGTGCAGCTTCTCACTCTCCTCTATGAAATCACCCATCTACACAGAACTTGCAGGATGACAGTAGCTTTGCCATTTCTATGCTTTTGCCAAATTTGGTAGAAATCAGGTTCCATAGGTACTGGTGCAGGGAGAGCACCAGACACATAACCAGGAGACGGTTGCTAAGGAAATCAGAAAGCCAGAATGCCAGGCTCCTGAGGAGTTCTGACTGTGACTCGTAAGAATGCCGATAGCATAAATACCTGCATGATGAAGACGTAGATGCAGAACAGCCATAGAAATACCCCAGAGGCTTTGAGAAACCCAGATCTAGAAAGGGACATCACAGAAATTCTAAGAATTTGAGGGCTTGATAGAGTGCTGTATGAGAGCTGTGAAAGATCCTGGTATCTACAAGACATACCCAACATGGGGAGGATGACACAAAAGCAGCTGAGGATTAATGTGCTGTGTGACTGATTGTTTGCATTCAAGATCCAGCTCAACCTCTTGCAGAGCCATATGATATTGCTGAAAGTGGGTACAAAAAGCTGACAGGATGAAGCAAAAGATATTTCTTTTGTGGCTTTCTGGACATGATGGGGCAGAGTAGGAGTCCTAACAGCATGTGAGCATTTTACAAAAGTGGCAGTGAAGGGAAGATAGGAAGTGGGAGTGAGTCCAATAAAGAAGAAAAATGGAAGCTTTTAGTTCTAAAGAATTCAACTGCAGGAAGGCAGAGGAACACTTTAATGAGGTTCTTAACAGAGAAGTGGGCAAAGGTGAAGAGTAAGTGGCCATTTTCCAGATAGCTGAGCTGTTTGCAGCAGTATTTTGAAAAAAAAAAAAAAAAAAAAAAAAGGAAAAAAGACAAGATGCAAAAGACACTTGGAAGGCTCAGGCCCAACAAGGGAGCAGGGCGCAGAGTGTTCCTGCAGAATTACTAAAAAATGGGTGGTAGAGATAACATGAAAGCCTTTACAAGCTATTTTTACTGGCTTGGAGAATTGAAACAGTAATAGAAGGGTTGACTGTGACCTGAATTGCATGCCCAGTTTGGAGAAAGGAGGAAAACAAAAGAGTGTGGGAACATCAGAAGCTGCTCTTTAAGGCTTGTAAAATATAACTGTGATCAAGAGAGTCAGACCCCTCATGCCAGGGTGCTAGCCAGGCTTTCCCAAAGCTTTCCCAAACATAGGACTCAAGATAGTCCAAGTCCATGCTGCTGACATCCCTGAAGGCCGTTCAGTCAGTGCCCTGATCTGAATGAGCATCTCTCTGGATTCAGGCTGGACAGACACAGGGACACACAAGATAGGTACTTTCTCCCTGACTGCTGAGGCTGTGCTATTAATATATCCTCTTGTGTCTGTTTCTGGATGGCTTGTGAGTTTCTTCTCTGTCTCTCAACACTTGTCACTCAGCCTCAAACACTACCCAGACAAAACCACACTACCCAGAACAGCTTAATTCCTGAGCAGCCTCCCCTATGTGAAGTATATGTTTATTCCTTCTTAAAGATTCCTTAAATGGAAAAGCAGAATTGAAACCTACCACAGCTGATGAGATTCAACACAGTCCCAAACCAGCATTTGTGGAATGACTGCATTTGGTTTGTGCTGTAGTCTCAGTAAAAGGCACCTACCACAGGCCATATGGCACAGATTCTGCATTCTGTACCCCCAGCAACAGCATTGTTTCTCCCAGTTTTATTGCAGTGACACGCAACACTGGTGAGCTCAAAACTTTTCTGAATAGGACTCAGAAATACTTGGCAGTGTATTGCATGACACTGCTATTTGCAACTTGGCACTTCTCCCTGATTTATTGTTTCACATTAGTCATCAACTTTAAAACCCACCTCTCCTTTATTGGCTTCAGGTTAGAGACTGATGCCCTGATTCACATTGAGAAGCACCCAACTCTGCAAATATTCCCACTGACGTTCAAGGATATCCCGTTCAGTTTGTGGAGTAGGTGGTTATGAAACTATCATTTGTTTTTGCATGAAATATAACCATGTTAAAAAATTCCAGTATGTAATTTTCACAGTCACCTTTCAGAGCAGAGCTGTATTGCACACATACCAACTCCCCTCCTGCTTATTAAATCCAACTGTTGTCTTAACTTGAAAATTTTGTAACTAATATTTCAATATCCCAACCCAGCCATTTAAAAATACAAGACATTACAGATAATTAAAGTCTTAAAATCAAATGCTTGCTGGTGCTCACATCCTAGCCTCCCATCATAAGCTGCTTTAAAGCCAGTTGTCTATCTAACTCAATGCTTTACTGCATTATCATACCACAGCCAGTAGTCAATTAATCTTTAACTTTTCTCTTTATGGAGTGCTTTTAAAAATCTTGGCACAAAATGTCTTCTCTATTTTCTCTTACTATCATCTCACTAACAGCTCTGAAATATTGCAGTGAATTAGTTATGCAAGACTTCTTATCATTTCACATCATCTGTCTCATCATTGCAAATAAGGCACTGAAGCACAGATTTACGAAGACCTGTCTCAAACAGATTACTGCATTCTTCAGAAACAACAATATTTTCTTCCTAATACATGTTTATGTTGGATTTCCCCCACCCCCGCTCGATTTGACTGCATTTTTTTTTTTTTTTACTGCAATTTATGGAATATTGCCTCACTGATTTGTTCAAGTATTTTTGAACTCTGCAAGTTCTACACTGACTTGCCTTTTATTGCCTCTGATGCCTTTCACCGCCTCTGATGCCTTTCACCTTTTTTGCTGGGCTGGCTGGCAAGTTCAACCAGCTCCACATTCCCAACATAAAGTCAAACCAACATATTCTGCAGGTTCTGTAATCCTTTCCCTCAGTAGAGTTGCTGAAAGGCTGAGGAACACCGGCCTTCGTCCTGGCAGCATATCATTGCTTAAGCACACTTTGTAGGTACTTCAACTGCTGGGACAGATGGTGCAAAACATGAGCCAGCAAATCATTTCCAACTCTCATGGTCTTTAAGGCCCTGAGATAACCTCATTCAGCAGCCTGGGCTGCAGTGAGCACACCACATTGTGTGGCATCTTCCTTTTCCCTGACTTACATCCACTTCAACAGAAGGAAAACAGTAGCAGCGGATTGATTGCAATACAGTTCCCACCTTTCAACATAGAAGGCTTTATTTTAAATTTACATTTACCCCTTATCTTGTACCTTCCTTGTACTTGTCATGTCAATAGTTACTAGGTAGGAAAAGGAAAGGAATGCAACCCCAGATAACCTAGCTAACAAATGTCATGGGCTCATTTTTACTGAAGGAGTTTTTCCACTTTGAAATGACTCAGCAGGAGCTGCCATAAAATCTTTGGATATTTTATTTTTTTTTAATAATAGTGGAATAAATAACAAGTTATTAATGCTCAGGATAAAAATGTAAACCAAACCCCAGAGATTTTCTTCAGCTTGCTAGTAAACCTGGCAGGTTTGCTGTTCCAATAAAAGCAATGTATCTAGGAAAGCAGCAAGTACAATTTATTCACGCTTGACCTGATGTGAGTATCCAAGGACACAGAGTGATCTGAGTTACTTGAAGACTCAAGCAACTTATTTCTTGCTTTTAGAACACCACAAAGTGGATGGAGTACCCTGAAATGGCTTTTACAGGCAGGACACAGCCAGGCCTGCCCGGCAGCTACCCGTAGCACTCATGAGCTTAACCTTTGCTTTACTGTGAGTGCTTCCACTCAGTTCCCTCAAAGCTGGCCAGGCTCCATCGTGCCTGGTAAATCTCAATCCCCTTCTCTCCAGGCCTCTCCAGGCAGAGCACAGTGCTGGCAGCCAGAAATTCTGGTGTGTGTGGCTGCCACACTGTGCTGGCATGCAGGGGTGGGCTGTAGCCCACTGCTCACCTGGCTGAGCCCAGACTGGCCCAGCCACCAGAGCCTCTCCTGGTGCCCCATGGGCTGTGCTGGCTGAAAGAGCCTTATGGACCTGTTTTGGAGAAGTCTCTGAGCACAAGCAGGAGATGCCAGCCCAGCCTCTGTTCCTCATTGCTGGCTGTCACTGCCACACTGCAGCAGCAGGTTTGGTGCTGCAGGAATCCGTTGAGCCCTGGAGAGCTCGGGGCCATGCCTTCTGCGGTGCACACCAGTGCATCCTCCCTCCCTAGGCCCTAGGTGTCTTTTACTTCAGCCTGAGGAGAACAGCAAAGTAAAACAAAGCTTAAAACAAGCCTCTGGAAGGGGGAGAGCGTGGGTTGAGGTCCCTGTAACACAGTGACCACTGCAGCCAGCAAGGGCAATGCTCACAGCTCTGCTCCTTAGAGACACTACTGAGAGCTCATGGTCACATGAGCTCATGACCCCACTCCAGAGGAGATCCTTGAGGGCCAAGGTGTAACCCACTAGGCACTATAGGCCATTTATCCCAGTCTGAGGTAAGATATGCAGATGTGGAGAAGGGAGATGGGACGACCCAAGTCACCTCATGGTCAGCTCACCGTGCGAGGATTCCTTCCTGTGCACACGAAGGGATGACGGTCGATGGCTGTAGAAACGAGGAGGCAGGACAGCTGTGCCTGGTGGGCCAGGGCTTAAGAGCAGCCTCAGTCTCCTGAGTCTTCCTCTGCTTGAGTAGGGCTCAGTCAGAGCAGAAATTCAATTTGAGTGGCCAGATGTGCCCCCTACTTCACCTCCTCTTTAGGCATGGAGAAGTCCTGCAATATGTGCACATGTATTTGCGTGTGACATGGATAAGCCAGATTCCTGGAAATACTTCAAATGTAAATCCAAGCAGTCAAAATCTGGAAGCAGACACAAAAACACATAGAAGAAAATACATAGAAATATACAGAAAATACCCAGTCAAGAAGGATACAGTGGGGTAGTAGTTTTCAATTAAATATCATGTAAATTGTGACAATTACTTCAATAACAAAAGTGCCAGCCATTTGGTCTTACACTGCAATAGCCACAGTGTTAGAGCACGGAGGGATGCTGGGAGTGAGAATTTACGTGTAGCTGAGTCACGGTGGTGAGAAAGACAGAGAAAAATAGAAAGGTGGGCTAGACCCTCAGGCTGTGGTTGGACAGTGCCAGACCTCCAGCAGTAAGATTTCCTCCTGCTGCTCTCTCCTGTGTGAGCTGGGTGCATGATGCTATGCCTCTGCACTCCTGCTAGCACAGTTCTTTGTAGCTCCTCCATCCATTTTATGGTAAGACAAGGCAGGGA